AGACTGGTACTCATGGAAACATGTCCTAAGTTCACCCTCACAGACCCAGGCTCCAAGACTACTCCTTAGAATCCCATCAACAAATTGGCCCCAGTGAATCCTGGCTCCAGGCTCAACCTTGTGGACCCCATTTCCAGACCTGGTGCCTGATGACCCAGGCATCAAGTTAGCCTGCTTGAGGACTTCAAGAGCAAGCTTATTCACAGACACTTTGCCCCAAATCTCTGGACTGGCCAAATTAAACAGCACCTGTAAAGGATCATTCACGGTGTTTAAGTGGGATGCAAAGATGGATTGATATATGCCAATCTATAAATGCTATATGAAAAGAATGAAGGACAAAAAAATTCATATAACCATCTCAATAGTTACACAGAATTTGACGAATGACACAGACTCTTAAGAAATTAGATACAGAAGGAATGTGCTTCAACACAATAAAGACAAAACCACATTGAACATCATATTCAATGGTGAAAAATTGAGAGCTTTTCCACTAAGATCAAGAACATGACAGTGATGCCCACTCTTATCCCTTCTATTCAATATAGTACTAGACATCATAGCCAGAGCATGTAGATAAGAGAAAGAAATAAAAGGTATCCAAATCAGAAAGGAAGAATATTCATTGCCTCTGTTTATAAATGATATGATCTTATATATAGAAAAACCTGAAGACTCCTTGAAAAACCTGTTAGAACTAATAAACGAATTTAAGAAAGTTGCAGGATACAAAATCAGCTTACAAAAATCAGTAGTATGCCTACACACTAACAGCTATCTGAAAAAGAAATCAATAAAACAATCCTACTTACAATAGTCCCCCCACTCAAAAAAAAAAGTACTGAGAAAATTTAGCCAAGGAGGGGAAAGACCTATACACTGAAGTTCTAAAACATGGATAAAGTACAAGAAATTGAAGATACAAATAAATGGAAAGATAGCCTATATTCATGGATTGGATGAAATAATATTGTCAAAATGTGCATACTGGCCAAAGCAATCTACAGATCCAATGCAATCCCTACCAACATTTCCATGGCATTTTTCATAGAAGTAGAAAAACAATTCTAAAATTCATGAGAAATCATAAAAGATCCCAAATAGACAAAATAATCATGAGAGCCCCCCCACCCCATCACCACCCTGCAAACTGGCGGCATTCACTACTTGATTTGAAATTGTACTGTTTTGTTATAGTAATCAAAACAGTATGGGATTGGC